TGCATTCATATTTCCTTAAATAATTATTTTGATTTACACTTTTGTTTTTTTTCTCTGACTTTGAAAGCCTGAAATGCATCTTCTGTTATAGATGCCAAGCAAAGTAATTACCTTTGTATTATATTTAAGCGTTACAAAAAGCCCAGCTGGGAAGGAAGGAAGATTGACAACAGTGCCTATATTAAATTACGTGCCTGCTCCCTGCAGAATGATTGGAAGACCGGCAAGCACATAAAACTTCAGAGTGAACAGTCTCACCCTTTGTGCGATTGCCCGTTATATACAGACATCATTAGTCTTGAATATGTATACACACACGTACATACATAATCAGAGTTTTGTCTTCAGCTCTTTTTTGCTGTTTTGACAGAGAAATACTGTCAGGTAAGAAGTGCATGATCAACCCAGAAATGCAGCACCAACCTGGCAGAGCCTAGGCCACAGGGGTTTCTCAGCACGAGAACATCTCCATAGGGTCACACCAGGGTCTGTGCAGGCCCCACGTACCTCATCTATCAAAAATCTAGGAAAAACCAGAACACGGCAAACATATACATTGTGCTATTTCCACTAAAATATCTCCATGCTGCCCAGCAATATGTGGGTTACCGAGTTTCCGTGCCAGACATTGGACCTATCTGGTGGACTTCCCTTGCATAAATTTGCTCAGTCCTTTTCTGAATCCTTTACACTTTTGGCCACTACAACATTATGTGCTGACAAATTTGTCAGTTTTATTTCATGCTTGGTGAAAAAAATGCTTACTTCTGCTGTATATCTATATTCTGTATGTATCTGCTGCTTGATTTTCTGGCGTAACTGCAGAGAACAAAATACAAGAGATGAAATCACACGTAAGCAAGCTATTAAAGCCAGTGACGTTCATTGGTTTTTCCATTTTCCACAGCATTTAGCTAGTATCAATATCTAAATACTAGCCCTGCAAACGATTTCATTATTGAACTATCTAAGAAATATCTGCTCACCGTAACGGATGTCTCTTACCAGATTCTCCTCTGCACGTCACAGGGACATGATGATAACTGCACCATCACACTCACAAGGTTTCAAGCCAGCCTAGTAGATCTCTGCTGTGTGTGTTTGAATTTGAATTCAGTAAGAGTCACACCATCAATTACCATACAGCCTAGATCGAGGCTTTAACCTTGGTTTACATGGGGCTAGGCTCAGTCCAGCTGAGAGAGCTGTACAACAGCGTGCAATATCTTTGTCCCCGGAGCCATCCGGGTAAGAACTACCTCTCCTGCTCAGCTTTCTTCTCAGTAGTAGCACGTGGCCCTTGTTGTACAAAGGGGATGCAAGGGGCAGGTCTAAAACAAATTATAGAAGAATGGCAAAACAACAAAAGGAGGGAAGCAACAGGGAGGAGACAGGAATGTCATTCATGTCAACAAGTAAATGAAGCATATGGAAACTGCATTTAAGGCATGAAGGGCATGTAAATGAAGTTGATACAACCAGATGGCCGAGGAGCAAGGAAAGAGCAATTCCAGAAACTTTAAGGGAAACAGAGAACAAGAAAAGAGAACAAAGATTATGAACTTCATACTGAATAGGGCAAATCCAAAGGGTATTTAACAGGAAGACTACAGCAGTAATGAAAAACAAACAAAAAAAAAAGTGAAAACCCCACGTCAGCAGAGGTTCAACTTGAGTCAGGAAATATGCCTTCCCTGCCTGGGGAGAGATTTCAGTTTGTGGTGTCAGCAGTAATGGTTTTAGGTACTTCGCTGCTAAGGAGGATCTCATACGCACACGGTAGTAGGGTCCAGGAGGGCAGAAGGCAGAGCTTGGCGAGGGTGGAAGGACAGCTTTGGGGGGTAAGTTACATGTTTAAGATCTTCAGAGCCGGGTTCAGGGCCTGGCTTCCTCAGACACTAAATAAAGTAATTCTCTTTTCTGTACCTTTATATCCTGTTAATAAAATTAAGATTAAAATATTTCTATCCTTTCTCTGTCTCATTTACGAAGACAGATGACTCTTAAGGACTGACTGACAGATACTTGTATGGTTCTAGCTGGCAATAAGGCCCAGTCTAGCTACAGACTCTGCTGCAGATCCCAATAAAGCAAATATTAGGATGCCTAGTATAGGAAGTGAAGTCTTAAACTATAGAATGTACGTATTTCTTGCTAAATAAGTATAACACTGAAATTACTCAATTATCTACAATATTTCCTCATTGTTTTGTTTTTATTTACCTTCTCATCAGCTGGTTTCAGAAATCTAACCTTTAACAACACCACACAAGGGCTTCTCAAGGTAAGAAGGAAATGCTAATTGGTTTTATCCTTTTGTGAAACAATCCACCCAAAGTTAATTAGAATAGGTTTGCTTTGTCTTTGCAAAAATAATCCACAAGAAAGACTGATAGGCAGAGCAAACTGCATCTTGCACAAAGGTGGTAGGATTTAAGTGATTTTGAGCTATGCTCCCAGAACTCAGTTGCCTTCAGGCATCTATTTGGTCTTTCTCTGTGGATGGCATAATTAGGACTTGAGTGAAAACCCCAGCGGTGAAGCCTGAGAAGAAGTTAATCTTCTGGGCACCACGTGGGCCAAGAGAGATGTGCCAAAAAGTTCAATTAGCAAAGGCTCCTGGTCCTAGGCCGTGCGATAGCGTTGCTCAGAGCTGATAAACAGCTGCAGCACCCGCTTCCCAGGTGCCTCAGCTCCGCAGTGCCCGAGCCCCACGTACGTTACAAGGGTGAGGAGCACCGTGCAAGCAAAGGGCACCACCTGCAGCTGGTGCCCCCCGTGCAGACGGCAGAAGCGCAGCTCTGCGATGCAAGCTCACGGCACTTCTCTACGCGACCTTCGTACTCACAGTGGGACACGTAAATCCTACAGATTCACACATCTCTCTAGTAACAGGATCCAGTTTCAGTGCTTTCAGCCTCACTGGGTATACACATAAGCTAAGGCATTTCTTACTGCATCTGGGAGAGCCACAGAGGGTACTTGTCGACAGGATCTGATCGTAGGTCTCTTGAACCCTCTGATTGAGGCCCAGCAAGCAGAATATGGGTCAAATCCATGTCATCCCAAGAGGCAGCCCAAGACCTACTGGCAGGACAGAGCTCGAAAGCATTACAGCAAGCTCGCCCCCCCCTACAGCCATGTATGAGAAAAGTGAGAGAAGGATTATGTTTGATTTCCCATCATCTGTAAAGAAGGGAGGAGAAAGTTCTTTGCTGTTGGAAAAGCACGGCAGATCTGGAAAAGAGAGTGCTCAGCACCTATTCTTTGCAAGCCAGAGATCCTTTCTGTTATGGGAGGAAAGCACATCCCTAGTAGCCACAGGAATGCTCAGGCCCAGCATCCAAGGACCCAACAAACTTCCCTCTCTGTCTAGGGATATTTAAGAGCAGATCCTAATTTCAAGAGGGATGCAGGACATGGAAACTGCTTCTGAGGAATTTGACTGGTGTCTCCAGAGCAGGCAACTATGACTACCATAGAAGGAGTTAATAGACATTGAAATTGTTTTATTAAGTAGGTTTGCCAGAATTTACTTGTTATTAAACCTTATTAGTCGGAGACTGTCCTTGTACTCCATGTTCTTACCCAGTTGCTGTCTGCTGCCTGCTGAATAGACGGAGGGATGCTGGAGAGATTATTTCTAAGCCCTTCCCCCTTCCCTCTCCCCTCCTCTTCCAGGGCCACACTGACAGTCCCAAGGGAAACAGAGGAGAGACAGGGAGAGGGCAGGATCCACCAGCTCTCACTCAGCATATTTCACCAGGAAGCCCCAGGAGTCCAGAAGAGAAGCTGCCACTTAGGACACCATCTCCTTTGAAAAGGATCTATTAGTACAACATACATTACATGAACACATATGAATATTTTCCCCTTCCAGGAAAGAAGGAGAGCAAGAGGGAAGAGGCTGCGATCTCCAAAGTGCTATAGTGATTTTTCACATAATCAATTCTGTAAAATATCCCCAGGTCTTTCTGCTGGGTTGTACCTCAGAGGACGGCTGATCAGTTTGCGGCATGTGTACTTCACCTGCGGGGAAGCCAGGCACCGGGCAGCAGCCCGTGGTGAGTAACTTCGGGGAAGTTTCCTTGCCATTTTTGCAGTTCGCTGACCTGGGGTAATAAATGCCTTTGAATCTTTAGAGATGATGAACAAAACCAGGGGCTTGTTCCTGAAAGGGGGAAGCGAAGGGGGGGGCAGCGTCTTTCAACTGCTTCCCCTCACCGCCCCCCCACCCCCCGAGCTGATAAAATACTTCGCTTTCTGCCTGTGTAACGCTTTTCTCCAGGGTGGGCAAATGTTCCCTGTATCTTCTCAGTAATTTGCAGCGACGTGAGACCGGGTTGATAAGAATAGTCATCATTTATACAGCACTTTACCTCTTAAGGCGTTTTACAAACATCTACTAGCTAATTCCCCTGAGAAGCAGGCAAAACAGGCGTGCAGTGAAAGGATGAGGAATTGCAATTTGAACATTCAAGTTAAAGCAGTCAGGAACTTTGCATCCAGCTGATGGCAGGTAATTGACCACTCTAACTCTAATAACTATTAAGCAGCTTAGTTGAGTTAGCACGTATTTCAGGGTTTACAGACAAAAGAAAGCAGAGCGATAACCACCGCAAAACACAAGGATCTAACGGTGACCAAGATGTGCTCGGAGAAGAGAGCGATCTGTTCACATTCGGATTTGCAGGCACCCGACCCTTTGCGATAATTATGAATGAAGCTTTAGCTCTCCTCTGTGTCTGCGTGTTGCCTGACAACCAATGAGGCTGCGAAGCAAATCGCATTCACAGGCTGCAGGTTTCAGGAAGAAGCATAGAGGTGACTTTTACTTACAAAACAGGCACTCATTAATTTTGTGCTTTAGGGAAGTGGCCTGAAACACCTTTTCTCTTGCAATAACCTTTACTATGTTTTCTTCTCCTTCCTATATCTTTTGGCCGACAGATAACCCTGCTCTGATGCCATTTCGGATGTCCCAGTGAGAACTCCTAGAGATGCCTATTCTCTCCAGAGGCAGTGACCAAGACTATAGTAACATTAGCTACACTTCATGTAATTCCTTGAGCCACTTCTTTCCTGTCTCCGTTGAAACCCCTTCTGTCAAAGGGGTCCATTACCAAAGAGCCAGGAGGATTTACCATCCTGATCAAGTCTCTGCAGCCGATCTAAAGACAGAGATCATGATAAATGTTGGGGGCATCAAGTACCTGCTACCTTGGAGCACTTTAGATGAATTTCCCCTGACCAGACTGAGCAAACTTAAGTTTTGCAGCAGCTATGAAGAAATAATTCAGCTGTGTGACGATTACGATGAAGACACCCATGAGTTCTTCTTTGACAGGAACCCCAATGCTTTCGGGATGATTGTCAGCTTTCTAGCAGCAGGGAAGCTGATGCTCTTAAGAGACATGTGTGCCTTGTCTTTTCAGGAGGAGCTGAGATACTGGGGGATTGAGGAATCCAACCTGGAGAACTGCTGCTTTCGAAAACTATTTCAAAAACTGCAGGAGTTGGCCGAGGTACGCAAAGAAGAGGAGCTTCGGAGGAGCAAAGAAGCTGCATGTGTCTTGGATGAGAAAACCAAATTTGGACAGTTTATGAACAGACTCAGAGATATGGTAGAAAATCCCCAGTCAGGACTCCCAGGCAAAGTCTTTGCTTGTCTCTCCATTCTCTTTGTGGCCACCACAGCTATAAGCCTTTGTGTTAGCACAATGCCAGACTTAAGAGCTGAAGAAGACAGGGTAAGTAAGTCCTTTTTAACTGGTCTAACTACAGAATTAAAAGAAATTTGTCTGTCTTGCTAGGCATACATCATTAAAAAGATAAAAAAGATACAGAAAACCCATAGTGATGAGGTTCAAAACTGTCACTGGCAATGAAGCAGTCTATAACAGCAAATGCAACAATGGCTTAAATTAATTCTATCATTTTCATAGTGATATTCAATTAAGAATAGCGTGAACAAAGTATTTTACTAATTGTTAGCTAAAGTACAGGAAAGAACTTCTGGACAGAATAGATATTGCAGCTCTCTAATACAGCATTGTGTTTCCTTCTTAAGCAGTTGCTAGTTTAAGTTATATCAACTTGTTAGCACTGAGACTCTCAAACTGACATTGTGGAGCTTTCCCTTTAACATGCTTTACTCTCTAGTTACAAGCAATCTCTTGTTTGGACACTCCAGCTGAAGATACATTTCCCTCTGACATCTTTACTTTTAAAACAGCCGGGTGTCTTCCCTTGTGATAATACAGTCAAATCTTTAAAGAGGAAAAAATACTCATTAATTTTTATAATGTCATAAGGTTACATTTCAATAGTTGTGTGAAGATTAAAGGATGAGGGACAGATGAAGTATTTTCACAGATACTGATACTTAAAAGCTGCGCCTCCAAAAATCGTACTTCCATGCCAACAGAATTCTGTATTTGCCCATATATATAGGTACATATTGTAGGAGTAATGCCAAACACTATCTGAACTGCTAACTGCATTTAAACCCTTTTCAAGCAAGTCATTCACATTAATTCAGGGCAAATAAATCAAGCCTGTATCAAACATGAAGGATCTCTATAACATCGTTGACAATAGTTCAGCATTTTAGAGATTTGTTATTCTAATAATAAAACAGAGGAAAGTAACAATCCGAAGTTATTTCAAATATAGTAATGTCCAAATTAATCAAATAACCTTGACTAATCTCTTTAATGAATCCTGCACTTCATTTGCAAAGTGCCCTTCCAAAAGTGTTGAGGAAATCCAGGTCAAATAAACTCCTTGCCCCAACCCCTGCTGTAAGATAAGACACTCCTCCGAGTATTTTATATTGACGAATAAAGTCATTTTTACATTTATAGCACAGCATGGCGTGCACAATACAAAAATCTGTATATATTTTATTGCTCAAGCAGTAAGTTAAAGCAGCACAGTCATGGTGAAGGTATGTCATATTTGATGTCTGCGAATAAAAGTAAAGACTGCACAGAAGGCTGAAATTTAGGATCATTCCCTCTTCCATGTAACCCCTTGACTATTAACTGACATTTGCATAGGAGGACTACTATCTTTCAGTAATGAGTCTGGTGCTCTTGCAGCCTTCCACAGCTATTACTTTTGGCAGGAAAGACTGTAACACTGTTCCAATGCTTCTTCCAAGGATGTGCTTTAAATATAGAACATCCTTCTTACAGCTAGATGTAAAAACATCACAAACACTGCTCCAGAAAGTGCTTCCTACAACTTTGTTAATTGAAGTAACACGATGCATTTTATCTTAATTTCCCAACCACTGCAGAAAAAGCTTTTATAAATACTTTTCATGCAAAAGATCAAGCACATAATGTTTCAGAGCTCAGCTAGATGTAATACGCTGCGTGCTTTAAAAATAATTAACCGTATGTTAGAAAGGGAAGCATGTTGAGGGTTAGAAGTATATCTGGTAGCTGCAGTGTAGCTGTTGTTCCTGGATCTCCTATAAAACACAGACGACATTACTACTTAGAGATTTGCATATATATGACTACTTTAAAAACAAGAAAACTGGATTGAAACAAGCTCAAAAGATGGAATGTTTAAAGTGCAGAGGAGAGGAAGAAGGATGAACTTGAGCAAAGGACCACATTTGTCCAAATATTTGGAAACATTGCATAATTTACACTTACAGCACCAGCCTAATGCACTTTATCATTGTGTCCCAGAAGCACAGAACAGAGTACTGGAAGTCCTGCTATTTGAATAGTTTAAAATTATGCCAGAGAAAACACAGGGGAATACACGAGACAAAATACTCATGCCTTGTGGAGATGCAGAAAAGTACTAAATAGTAGTTTTTCCATCCCTAGGAACTCCCTAAATTTCCATCCCTAAATTCTTAGCCTGCAACGCCTAAGATTTTCTTACTGGGATCTCAAAGGAGCATTTCAGCTAGGACTCGACAAATATCTCTGAGAACTTAATTGACTAAAAATACTACTTGGTTGTGGCTGAGTCATACTCTGGCAAATTACAACTCTACATTGAGTGTAACTCAGAATTGTTCACTGGCTGACATCTGAAAGTGATTCCAGGATGGGGGCACAATTACCAGCACCCTGGGACAAACATGCAGCTTTTGGGCTGAACATAAAGACCACACAACATCTGGTTTTGCTCAGTGACAGAAAACAGTCAAATTCCTCCAATAAAGTTTCTGAACAACCTGTAATTCTGCACCTGAATTCAGAGATGCCCTATCCTGAGGTTTATTCATTTCTGAGTTAAAGCTTGGCAAAACCTCTATGGCAAATGTGCTTACAAGTACTGCAAGGATCTGTTTTCCAATGTCACTAATGCTAGAAATTGAATTTATCCATTCTGAAATACAAATAAAAAAGGCTTTACCTCTGCTGCATATGTACCACTCTAGGGTCCTTTTTCTCCTGATCACAGCCACATTAAGAGAATGACAACTGGCTGGACTCCAGCCTAAGGAGAAGGATCAGAGTCAAAAAAAAAAAAAAAAAAAAAGGAAAAACAATACAAGGTGACTTCCACTTCACTCAAAGGCTTGGCTGATCCCACCCCGCAGGCATATAAAATCACTCGTCCTTTGAGCAGTTGCTAAACCAGGTCTGCATGGATGGGAGAATAGCTGCCTGGGCAGGCAGAAGAGCAAACCAGAGTCCTCACCATCCGAGGGAAAGTGAAAACTCCAGTCTCTGGGAGAGGGATGGCAAGGAGCCAAGGCAAGAACATCCGCATCAGGGAAGCCCAGTCACCCTGGCAACCAGAGGGGAGGGAAGGAGCCATCTCCACGAGCAGCAGAAAAGGGAGGGGAGGGTTAGCTTAAAGGTAGGAACACAGCCGAAAGTAAAACAGAGAACAAGTTGTTATAATTGATACCATGCACACATTCCAGAACATGTCAAATGACATTTAGGAGCCTCCTCATTACAGATATGAAAGAAAACCACAGGTAGATGGGCAAAGAATTCTGTAACTATACATCACATAACCACCTGCCATGAATCCCAACGCAGAGCGAACAGCCCCAGACGAAGGAGGCTGAAAGTGCGGGAAAACTGTAAAGCAGTAAACATATAGCACTAGTGATCTCAAGTTTTAAGTCTTACCATGAAACAGATATACAAAAGGATTTATCACACACGATGCTAAGGGAAGAGGTCTCATTAGTAACAAATTATGTTATTTGGGCATAAAACAACTGAAATGTCACATTCTCCTATGGCAATACATCCTCCTCTATGATATTTGCATCTGTTCTTTACGGAGACCAAACTGTCTTCAGTAAGGAAGCAAATATAGTATCACCAAAATGTAGTAATCAAGGCACATGTATATGTATAGAGGAAAAAAGCATATTTGGAGGTGAGGAACTCTGTTTATTATTGATCTGAACAGGTAGCCTGAGAGAAGTACAAATCTGAGTCAGGGACCACACATATAGGATAAGAAAGCTGAAAAAACCTGAAACTACCAGTATTTCCCACAAAGGAAGGAATTAAGATCATCCCACTAGAGACAAGGCAAAAGTCCCATTAGAGTCCCCTGCAAGTCCCCAGTCCCACATAAGAGTTACAATTAGGATCCAAGAGGTGCAACTGAAATAGTCCCTGCTCAGCTCATCTAACCCAAAGGAAAAAACATCATTACAGCAGAGAACTACAGAATAAAACCACCGCAGAAGAGCTTGGACAGGGAGACTGCTTTGAAGCACCCTTGGGATTTTCCTTAGGAAGATTTCTTTTAACGAGTCCCTAAAATTGGCGTCCTCGAGAGAAATGACTCAGCAGAAAGGATACAGCAGGGTCTTTTCTTCAGGAAGGGAAGCAAATTAAGGTCGGTGGGGGGGCAGGGGGAAGAAGAGAAAGAAACCCCAGACATTTCCATTCCCCGTCCCTCAGCACCGGTAGCAATCAAGTAATTTTCTCCCAGGCTCCCAACAACAACAACAACAACAAAAGCGTGGTTTAAGAGAGAAGGAAATGTCTATTCTCTGTTCTCCCTCTCTTCCCTGGTGATGAGTGAGTTGTCAGACCTTGTTACTACTAATTTTTGTATTTGCTCTTAACTGACCTTGAGAAGCTTGTAATTGCTTTATGTATTGTATATAACCTAATCATAGAATTATTTAGGTTGGAAAAGGCCTTTAAGATCATCAAGTCCAACCGTTAACCCAGCACTGCCAAGTCCTCCACTAACCCACGGCATGTAACTGGTGTAAGCTGCAACCAGTATTGTCAGATCTAACGATTTTATCTTGAAACTTAGCATATTCATTTTTTCAAAGCTCCCATTTCTGGTCGTTTGATTATGCGAAAATCTAATTTCTTTTAAAAGAGTAAGTTTTTAATCTCTGGTTGCACTGAGAATCCAGAAAATATGAACAGAGGAAAAAGACCCAGTGCCTAATATATAGAACCATTTTTAAATTATTTTTTTCATTCTACACCATTATTCTGGAGGCCCTGCCCCATATTTTTCAATGTTTGATGTTGCTGATGTTGCCTGTATGATACTAAAACCAGCATATTTGGCTTGTATGCTAAAGGAAACTGCCGAGAAACATATTTTCTTTAAAAGTGAAGTAATTTTACTTCATAGGGGAAATAACAATTTATTGCTCTTACTGTGAAGAGAAAGAAAATCAAACAAGATATTTGTTTCATCAGGGTTACCATTGCCACAGCTAAATGCGTTAGCTGTAAACATTCACATTGACTGGCAGCTAGTCAGTTCAGCC